CCAAGTTTACCTTAAAATGCATCTTTAGATCTCTAGATCTCTAAGAGGGTTCGTTATAACATATGAAAGTCCCACATGTATGATTTCCTAAGGGCCTTCTCTACGGAAGCCCTGATCAACATGCCTAACATCTGTAAATATGACAGCCAAACTAGCAGTGCCATAATTGAACCAGTATAATCCCACTTTCTACATTCTATCACTTTTCTCAGTAGTTACATTGCATTTTATTCAAAGAAGAGTGAGGCACCTACGATCCATATTCAGAAATTACTGGCATTTTTTTGAAAGTCTGTGTACGTTCATCAGGATTCATAAAGGAAAAAAATCCCCCGAGTATCATTTTAGCTCCAGAGGTGGAAAATTTCCTTGGAACATTACTGGGCTGGAGGCAGATGGATTTCAAACTCTTACTGACACTGGCAGGAAGGAAGAAGAACAGAATAAGGTTAAATGAAAGAAGACTTGAGCCATCCTTCCATCCTTTCAAATACATGGTCAACAACACAGAGCAGTCAAGTCTGCCAAAAAATCAATTGCCTTGATTAGACCTAATGGGAAACGTCCACTGAAAAGGAGGAAGATATATAAAGAATAGAATTCTTTATTGGCCAAATGTGATTAGTCACACAAGGAATTTGTCTTTAGTGCATATGCTCTCAGTGTACATAAAGAAAAAATGAAATATATTCGTCACAAATTAAATAAAAAAGTAAAAATAAAACAGAGCAGTTTCCTTGACTCTGATTTCAGTGGCCCAAGATAAATTCTGAGGGATCTTTCAAAGTGCAGCAGGAATTTCTGACTTTTTTTCTCCTTGCCATCCTTGTTCAGCTGTGATGCTGTCAAGAAACAGAACTGAAATACAGTCATTGGCAAATCAGAGGGGAAATTATAACCTTTATTCCCTAGCAATTTAGGCAAATTGTGTTTGTGTAAAATCTGTACCTGGATACTGTAAGAGTTACAATTAGTTTCCCATAGCAAGTGCCATTTTCTTTCTCTTGCCTCGCAATCTTCTTTGTTCTTACCTTGATCTTATACACAGAAAAGTTTCAGAAACTTTTGCTTTGGAGAATTGCATTACCTACATCAATCTACATTATCTCTCACATGGATGCCAACTTGTTATATCACAGAAAGCTTTACTACAAGGGGTTGAAAGAAAGATGGGATCTTGAAAATGTGATTAATTTACCGTATTTTTCGGACTATAAGACACACTTTTCCATCACAAAAAAAGTGGGTGGAAATGTTGGTGCGATTTATAGACTAAATATGGGTCTGTTTTTGCCCTCCCGAAATACCCCCATGCATGTTTTTGGCAAAAGCAGGATGCACAGAGGGTTTGGGAGGCCTGCAGAGTGCTCCTGGGGGCTGGGGAGGGCAAAAACCAGATGCACAGAGGCCAAAAATTTTTTTCTTTTTTTCCTCTTCAAAATTTAGGTGCGTCTTATACTCCCGTGCATCTTATAGTCTGAAAGAATACAGGTAATATACAGAGAAAAACTATAATAGTCCACTGTCTTCCCTAAAATGAAAACAGGCAAAATAAATCAATCCTCAACTTATGACTGCAGTTGAGCCCAAAATTTCTGTGTCATTTTTTCATTGAGTTTTGCCCCAATTTATGACCTTTCTTGCCTCAGTTGTTAAGTGAAGCACTGCAGTTGATAAGTTAATAACCCAGTGGTTAGGTAAAACTGGCTTCTTCATGGACTTGTTGTCAGTTGTCAGAATGTCGCAAAAAATGATCATATGACCTGAGATCACTGTAACCGTCATTAATATGAACCAATTGCCAAGCATATGAATTTTGATCACATGATCAAGGGGATTCTGCATAACTTTGAAAAACGGTCATAAGTCAGTTTTTTCAGTGCTGTTGTAACTGACAATGGTCACTAAACAAAGTGTTGTAAGTCAAGGAATATCTGTAATACTTTCCATGTCTTCAAATAATCCATCCAATCATCTATCAATCACCTATTTCTATACAAGAAATCTCACAAATTTCATCAAAATCACATTTCACTACCAATAAAGGAGAATATTTGTAGCTCAGGGTTGAATCATTTCAACCCTGAGCTACAAATATTCTCCTTATTGGCTCATCATATTTCAGCGAAACCAAGAAGAAATAGAAATCCAGATGCTGAAGCTTTAGCTTCAAATTTATAATCTGGGTATAGTGGTAAAAAAAAATCTCAGATATAAAGGCCGGACAAGGAATAATGGATGGAAGCAGATCAAGGAGAGATTCAACCTAGAAATAAGGGGAAATTTTCTGACACTGAGAACAATCCACTAATGCAGTGGTTCCCAACCTGTGGGTTGGGACCCCTTTGGGGGTTGAATGACCCTTTCACAGGGGTCGCCTAAGACCATCAGAAAACACATATTTTTAATGGTTTTAGCAATAATTTTATGGTTGGGGGTCACCACAAGATGAGGAACTGTATTAAAGGGTCGCAGCATTAGGAAGGTTGAGAACCACTGCACTATTGGAACAGAAGTTGCCTTTGGAAGTTGTGGGAGCTTCATCAGTGGAAGTTTTCAAGAAGAGATTGGACTGCCATTTGTCAGAAATGGTGTAGGGCCTCCTGCTTGGGCTGGGAGGTGGGGGTTGGACTAGATGACCTACAAGATCCCTTCCAACTCTGTTAATCTGTATCTGTAAATGTTATCTTGAAAATTGCTATATTCTGTTATTGCCGATTGCAACTGGGAATGCTTAGAAATGCTAAATTAGGTTTGCAATTAAAAAAATTGTACGAGCCGTATTTTGCCCTTCTGTGAGTGTTTTTTTAAAACGTTTTTTCAAATACACATTTATTGGGGTTTTAAACAAAAAAGTTAAAAACTAACACCAAATGATCTTAAAAAAAGAATAACTGCAAAAAAGAAAAAAAAAGAAACAAGGTCAAACGTTTTACCTGCATTTTCAAGAAGACTCATTCTAATGTTATTCTGACAAAATTATGGGTATTTTTTTCTTTCAAATGTATGGAATTTCTAGTTCCAAAGATTTACTAAAGCTTTTCTCTGCATAAATGTCATTTTAAAAGCATACATATCTTGAAGATGAGCTTATACAATACCAGAAAAGTACTATTAAAGGTATTTTTCTTCTCCCCTTAATATCAGAATTTACAAGATTTGTTCCTTCATTCAATTTGAGTGATGGGCTACTGCTAATCATGTAATTCTCAAACAAATTCAGTATAGAGTGAGGTTGACCAAATCTGACTTATTTCTCAGATTTCAATATTTCTCAGTCTTGACCAACTCATCTCACAGACTTATTTTTTCTGTACAACATATGTTGGATGGAGTATTCAGTATGTTTGAAGCCTTGAGTTTTATATAAAAGGAACAGGTGGGATAATAAAATAGCCAGGACAAAACACAGACTTCTCTCCAGCCAATCTCTGCTTGAAGAAAAAAAAAAAAGCAGAAAAGTCAGTTTGGAGCGTATCTGGATACCAGGAAAGGAGAAGATGCATCAAGTTAAATTGCTAGAAAATTTTCAGATTTTTTGCCTATTCAGATTATGATTCCCTTGTAGGAGTGTCTGTGCCTATGGGTGCTTCGTTTGAATTTCTCGCATTGTTTACTAAGATTTGTCCAATAGTAAAAGCAGTCTCAGGAAAGTGGCCCTTATGCAAAGCTCTGGGAGGACCTGAGTAAGGCAGAGAAAAACAGTATCTGGGAATGTAAAGGTAGGGAAATAGAGAAATTTACTTTGAAAGAAACTGTGGAGCCGTTGAATGTAAATCCTCTCCTCATTGGAAAAATTCTAATTTTTGTGAGTTAATTCATTGCATTTTCAATACTATTCCTACACTAATCTGAACAGCTTTCATTTCATATAAAACATATAAGGTAACAAGCTAATAAATATATATCAACATAAAAACCTAATATATTGCAGAATATTCATGACTGGGAAGACATGATAACAAGGTCAGCCAATGAATTGGCATAGCAACTAAAACAGCCAATGGGAGCTGAAACAGTTTGGAGTCTGGGCGTGGCTTAGCTCTGTGTGCTATGTTGAAAATTAAAACTGAAACTAGTCTGTCTGCTTACTCTGCTTGTGATTTGCTTGTAACTGCTACCACGTTGGAAGAATCTGCTGTTGGTATTGTACATTTATTCATGTGTTATTATGTATATAAATAAAAGTTAATGAATCCTGAAGAATCAGTTATCTGTGTGTGCTTTCTGGATTTGATTTTTGCAACAAATTCTGACAATATATATATTTCTATAGGTATCCCACCTCCAGAAGAGCTAAAATCACCCAATTTCCACAACAGAAGAGCCAGGTGTGACTTCTCAACTTGATAAAATGAGGGGTAGAAAATGGGGCCAATGAATAAAATTTTCAATAAAGCTACTTGACATCTTGGAAACCAAAGAGATTCTCTCATGTTAACAACAACCATGCATTTCCCAAAATACCCTTATTCTCTCCATAGTATCAAAAAATTCCAATGCAATCATGGTACTATTTATTTGTTTATTTATTTATTTATTTTCAAACATTTATACAGCTAACCATCTTCTAACCAAATCTGGATGGTGGTTCCCAATCAAAAGTTAAAACAACCTATAAAATAATATTTAAACTATAAAAGGAAATAAATCAAAATATTAAAAACAACAAATACCCAGCCAGCTAATCTGACCCAGCACTTGGTGGAAAAGCCAGGTCTTCAAAGCTGCATGGAAGGCTAGGATGGAAGAAGTCTGCCAAAGATTAGGGGCAGAGTGTTTCATAAGGCAAGCCAGTAATGGAACAGGCACACTTCCTTAAAGGGACAGCTTCAATTACATATTCCTGGCTTTCTTCAATATTTCAGATCACCCCTAAGATTACTCACGATCACCAGAAAAATGCCAAAACATTACAGTATAGGATTTCACTATTTAACTGTTCTACAGCTCGGATAAAGCCTTAGAAATTGATTATATATGTTACATACATAAAGAAAAGAAATAGCATTGAATTGCATGATGAAGTTTGCGAGCTTGAATATTTGGACTTTTCCCATGAATGTTTTTGGTAACCAGGTAAAGGCTGAATTACAGAATTATTCATTGTTAATCTGTCCTCCTGGTTAGATGCTGTTTTGTGTTCAGATGTGGGTTCAAGAGAATGATGTAGCATTTGGGCAGGAAGATGCAACCCAGGAGACCTGCAGTAGAGCCCAAGATGGAGAAGATCTCCACAGCCACCATGTATTTCCCCTTGGTGCTCAGATAGGCTGGGATGAAGGACACCCAAATGCTACAGAACACAAGCATGCTGAAGGTGATCAGCTTGGCTTCATTAAAAGTATCAGGCAGTTTTCTGGCAAAGAAAGCCACAGTGAAACTGATGGTGGCCAGGAGCCCCAAGTAGCCCAGGACAATGTAAAACATGGCATCTGAGCCTTCATTACATTGAACAATGATCTCTTCAATCTGTGAATGCATGTCCCACTCAGGGAAGGGAGTAGACATGATCAACCATATCATGCAAATAACAGCTTGAATACATGAGCAGAAGACAATGATGGATCCTGCCAGTCTATTTCCTAGCCATTTCCTCATCTGGTTTCCTGGCTTAGTGGCCAGGAAGGCCAAAACAACCGTGATGGTCTTGGCCAAGACACAAGAAACCGAGAGAGAGAAAATGGTGCCAAACATAGTTTGCCTGAGAAAGCAAGTCACCTTCCCAGGCCGACCTATGAAGAGCAGAGAGCACAGAAAACAAAGCAGGAGAGAGGAAAGAAGGATGCATGTGATGTTCCTGTTGTTGGCTTTGACAATGGGGGTGTCCCAGTGCAGAATGAAGGCCAGTGCCACCAAAATGACGACTAATGAAAAGAAAAGGATCAAGGAAATCAGAACGATTCCCAAGGGTTCACCATAGGATAAATAGCTGAAACGTTTGGGAAGGCACTGGATCTTTTCTTCATTCGAATATTGATCCCCTGGGCATCTCTCACATTGGTTAGCATCTGAAATACATGAAGAAGAACAAGTCACTTCCAACTATACAGGACAATCTATAGAGTTAATTGAGAGAGATCATTGCTGGGGATGCCATTCACAATCCCCTTGACATATAATAATGCTTTCTTAAAAAGTGTACAGATTCTGGTCTGTTATTTATTCATATGCACTATTAGTGGTGGAGGACTCTGAAGAGAATTGCAACTATCAACTAAGAAAAGAGATCAGAATAGAATGGATTTATAAAAGTGTTTAAATTAGACCCATCTTTGAAAAAGAAATCTACCAAAGGTTATCCCAATTCCATTCCTCTAAATAGCATATCAAAGATGGAAAGAATGAAGAAAAGATGAGTTTGGAAGCTCTCAACTCTTAGCTGTCACGTTTTTTTACTTACCTGTTTCAATTGAAATTCTTCCTTCAGAACATTGTCTACAATTGTAGCAACAAATATGTTTTCCCTCCTGAACAACTCTGCTGTACCCCTGACGGCAGCTCTCTACACATCTGGCACGGGGAGGTACCTGAAAGAAAAATGAAAAGGTTTAGGAATGAGATTCATCAAGATGTTGTGCAAGTCCTCCTTTTTATTAGGAGAACTGGGTACTTTCAGGGACATGCATAATCTTCTGATGTCAACATGTCCCAAGATGCTTTCAGAGAGTGTCCATATTTATATTAAATCATTCTATTCCTAGGATGCATGTTCTGCCCCATGTAGAGGGTGTTACAGTAGTCCAACCTAGAGGTAACAAGGGCGTGAGTGACCGTGGCGATGATGCTTTGTTCTTGTAGAACAAGAAAAGGAGATAGTTGAGAGCAAGGGGGTCCCTAGTGGGAGACATCTAAAATGTTTCAATCCTACTAGAAATCAGATCAGATCAGAGAGGTTTTGCAACCTGCAATCTAGAATCTTTTTATCTGCCAGGACCCAAAATCAATAAAGACATATGGACTTACTTCTGAGCAGTCCTCACCTGTAGATAGAAATCTTAACCAAATAAAGGACTTGTTTAGCATCACTATAGAATTCAATCAAACGTTCCATTTTCAACTGCGACTTTGTCTTCTGGAAAAAAACACCTCCTTTCTGGGAGTCCTGACTAAATTCCATCAAGTATCATTTGTATGTAGAGATTTCTCTAAAAGGGGCTCCATAGGAGTACAGCCATTTATAATAAACCTTTTCTCCTTTCAGAAAGTATCCTCTTTTTACTCCATTCGTAACAGAAATACCCAATATTAAATATTAAATTGGGAAAATGCAAAATTCTGTTCATTACAAAAAACGCATATCTATTGTCTTTTAAGAAACTAGTAGCCTGTCGAGCAAACTAAATCAAAGAAAAGGACACATGCATAAATATTCTTATGTCATATTAATTTCAAAATGCAACTCAGTTCCATAAAGGAGTTGGAAGGGATCTTGGAGGTCTTCTACTCCAACCCCGTGCTCAAGCAGGAAACCCTATCCCATTTTAGAGAAATGGTTGTGCCATCTTTGCTTAAAACCTCCAGTGTTGGAGCACCCACAACTTCTGGAGGCAAGTTGTTACAAAGATTAATTGTTCTAATTGTCAGGAAATTTCTTCTTAGTGTAGGCTGCCTCTCTCCTTCCTTAGTTTCCATCCATAGCTTCTTGTTCTGCCTTCAGTTACTTTGGAGAACAGATTGACCCTCTCTTCTTTGTCATGGCTCCTTAGATTTTGGAACACTGCTACCATATCACCCTTCACTCTTCTTTTTACTAAGACATACCCAGTTCCTGCAACCATTCTTCATATATTTTAGCCTTCAGCCCCCTAATAATTTTTGTTGCTCTTCTCGGTATGTAGAGGTCTTCATAAAGACCATCCCAAAAAGCTAGCAGAACCACCAGATTCCAGAATTCCATCACCGTCCTTTGCTTCTGGAATTTCAGATCATTGGAGAAGAATATCTTCACCTCCAAATAATAGTCTACCAAGTTAGAGTATGCCAAATAGCCCACCTGCTGAAACTTGTGATTCCATACAATGGCATTTTCATTAATGGTGAATTTCTTCCCATCAAGAGATTTGGAGACCATCTTTCCAATATGGACTCTCTGAAAGGATTGATTGTGGAAGGTGACAAAGTTGAAGATATCATATCCCGGGTCAAACTCCCCTTTCTCATCAAAAAAGATTTCTTCTCCCACACTGTTATTAAAACGGGTGTTTCTCAGAAAGTGGTGAAGCTGGATTTGAGAGAGAGGAGAAGTCAGATCAGTTATCCAAATCTTCCCCAAAGTTTGGCTTTGTTCAGAATCCCAACACAGTTTCTTTAGTGAATCTCATCAGAATTGCTTTCTGGTTTGATTCAGAAATCTCTTCAACCCATGCACCACATCCTATTTTAAATTTCAGTAATATCAGATCCAACAATTTCCTAATATGTATTGATTCAACTGGAATATATTAACAGATAAAATTAAGATTCATGGCATTCATGGTATTGCTGATTTCCTTCCCATCCCCTTCAGGGCTTCCATATATGTATCTGAGAAAAGCAATGACACACCTCCCATGGCTGAAAATGCCTAAGATTTGATCCATCCTGATTTCTCAGAGGAGCTGGCTTTGCTCTTTTTGAATGCATTGCTTGCATGATATGTGCTGCAAGATAAACCCCATTGTAGATATTGTAGCTCTCTCCAGACATGGTCATTTCAAACACAGAGCCAGAGACTTTCTTGAGTTTTTCCCTCCCAGTGCAGCGTTTAACTCCTTTCTCATATGGAGGCAGTGAACAAAGAAACACAGATTCCCAGAACCAACTAAGATGACGAAAGGGATGCAGAAAAGGTTTTATTCTCTCAAGAAACTCCTGAAATCCTGGCACAGTCCTTGTATGGAGTGAGAAGTATAGGGAGCCATTGAAAGTCTGAACTAGGAGGCTCCCTTTTAATGATAAAATTACACTGAAATCCCACTGGTAGGTCATGATCCATACTCTGTGATCTATTGGGTTCCTTTGGTAAACTTCACGAGAATAAAGCGCCCATTGTAAAATCTCCATAGATTGGACAGTCCCAGAAGCAAGGAATACAGTGACATTCTTCTGTAAGATAATGTCTAATATTTTGTCTCTGCGTTCTTGAAAGACATCTTTATTTAAGAGTGCATCTCTTAAAATGGGGATCAATGCTATCCAAGCAATGCAAATATCACTCTGGAAGAGCCTTGGTTGGAGATGTTGAAAAAAAACTTTTCCCCTATCATCCTCTGAGACCAAGAGGCCAATCCAGTTCCATCCAAAATGTTTTAGTAAATGAACAATCCCTTCGTATTGCAAATTTTCATTGGGAACCATGCTAAAGAAGGAAGCGAACTGCCTTTTGTCACTCAGGACTGGGTCAAAGGAACCATAATTGAGCTGTTGGGAAAAATGATGCATAGAAAATTAAATTGAGAGTGGTTTTGTGATCCATTAAGAGCACAGAGCTTTTCCATTCTCCATAGAATAATGGATTTTACTGTGACATTATGACTTTATTGTAACATCCCAAAAGTTGCCATCAAGTGTTACATGTAAGGAGATCATAAGCTTCATGATAGTAGATTCTGGGAACTCAGAACTGGGAAATGATAGCCTGGTTAAAATTGAAAGAAGCTAGTGAAGGAAGACTGCCCTCCCCAGATAGAAGAAGAAATCGTGAGGCAGCAAATAATCCAAACACAATTCAAATAATTAAATCACAACCATTTACACAAGGAAAGAAAAGCCCTGTCTAGCTCATTGTCAGAGCTCACACCCCAGGCAAGCTCAAGTATAAACACTTGAGATAAGCCTAGCTACAAAAAATTCAATTAGCGTTAGTATGTAGCAAAAGAGCAAACACAGTAGCTATTGCTTGTTAGACCAATTACCAGAAGAAATAGACACAGGAATTAGATTTCTCAACCCTGCTTCCTTTCAGGAACAGAGATTAACCTCCTTCCTTCCAAACAAATAGGGAAAATTATCCCATCAATAAACACAGGATTAAACATCACCAAGCACAACTTAAATGGAACCAAAAACCAATTTTTGACCCAAACTCTAGCTAGCCAAGAAGCCTTGCTGCATGTCACTCATCTTAGTTCCTTGTCATTAAAAGCTTCTTTCCTGCAGCTCTGCTTCATTATTCAATTATTTATTCAAAGTGCATCCTGGCGGGAAGAATCCTAATGGGGAGCATTTTCCTCCCAACACTAAGGTTTATTTAAAAATTTTTTAAAATAATTAAAGATTCTGGTCTGTTATTTATGCATATATATTCCTTTGAACTGCACTATTAGTGGTGGAGGACTCTGAACAGAATTGCAACTCTAAAACTAAGAAAAGAGATCAGAATAGAATGGATTTATAAAAGTGTTTAAATTAGACCCATCTTTGAAAAAGAAATCTACCAAAGGTTATCCCAATTCCATTCCTCTAAATAGCATATCAAAGATGGAAAGAATGAAGAAAAGATGAGTTTGGAAGCTCTCAACTCTTAGCTGTCACTTTTTTTTATTTACCTGTTTCAACTGAAATTCTTCCTTCAGAACATTGTCTACAATTGTAGCAACAAATATGTTTTCCCTCCTGAACAACTCTGCTGTATCCCTGACGGCAGCTCTCTACACATCTGGCATGGGGAGGTACCTGAAAGAAAAATGAAAAGGTTTAGGAATGAGATTCATCAAGATGTTGTGCAAGTCCTCCTTTTTATTAGGAGAACTGGGTACTTTCAGGGACATGCTTAATCTTCTGATGTCAACATGTCCCAGGATGCTTTGGGAGAGTGCCCATATTTACATCAAATCCTTCTATTCCTAGGATGAGTTCTGACTTTTCTGCAAACATATTTGTAAAAAAACAAAAAGAGATAGTTGAGAGCAAGGGGGTCCCTGGTGGGAGACATCTAAAATATTTCAATCCTACTAGAAATCAGATCAGATCAGAGAGGTTTTGCAACGTGCAATCTAGAACAAAACGAAGAATTTCATTCTGTAGGAAATGTCATCCATTTTCATTTTGTAGGATTGGAATACCCTTGGTGTTCCTTTTTATCTGCCAGGACCCAAAATCAAGAAAGACATATGGACTTTCTTCTGAGCAGTCCTCACCTGTAGATAGAAATCTTAACAAAATAAAAGAATTGTTTAGCATCACACTATAGATATCAATCGAACGCTCCATATTCAACTGCGACTTTGTCTTCTGGAAAAAACACCTCCTTTCTGGGAATCCTGACTAAATTCCATCAAATATCATTTGTATGTAGAGATTTCTCTAAAAGGGGCTCCATAGAGTGCAGCCATCAATAATAAACCTTTTCTCCTTTCACAAAGTATCCTCTTTTTATTCCATTCGTAACAGCAGTACCCAAGATTACATATTACATTGGGGAAATACAAAACGTATTTTGTTTATTACAAAAAATGCATATCTATTGTCTTTTAAGAAATTAGTAGCCTGTCGAGCAAACTAAATCAAACAAAAGGACACATGCATAAATATTCTTATTTCATATTAATTTCAAAATGCAACTCAGTTCCATAAAGGAGTTGGAAGGGACCTTGGAGGTCTTCTACTCCAACCCCTTGCTCAAGCAGCAAACCCTATCCCATTTTAGAGAAATGGTTGTGCCATATTTCCTTAAAACCTCCAGTGTTGGAGCACCCACAACTTCTGGAGGCAAGTTATTTCAAAGATTAATTGCTCTCATTGACAGGAAATTTCTTCTTAGTCTAGGCTGCCTCTCTCCTTACTTAGTTTGCATCCATTGCTTCTTGTTCTACCCTCAGAGGCTTTGAAGAATAGTTTGACTCCCTCTTCTTTGTGGCAGCCCCTGAGATATAGGAACACTGCTATCATGTCTCCCCTAGTTCTTCTCTTCATTAAACTAGACATACCCAGTTCCTGCAACATCATATGTTTTAGCCTTCAGCCCCCAAATCATTTTTGTTGCAATTCTCGGTATGTAGAGGTCTTCAAAATGACCATCCCAAATATCTAGCAAAACCACAAGATTCCAGAATATTGTCACTGTCCTTCGCTTCTGGACTTTCAGGTCATTGGAGAAGAACATCTTCACTTCCAAATAATAGTCTACAAAATTAGAGTATGCCAAATAGCCCACCTGCTGAAACTTGTGATTCCATACAATGGCACTTTCATTAATGGTGAACTTCTTCCCATCAAGAGATTTGGAGACCATCTTTCCAATATGGACTCTCTGAAAGGATTGATTGTGGAAGGTGACAAAGTTGAAGATATCGTATCCCGGGTCAAACTCCCCTTTCTCATCAAAAAAGATTTCTTCTCCCACACTGTTATTAAAACGGGTGTTTCTCAGAAAGTGGTGAAGCTGGATTTGAGGGAGAGGAAAAGTCAGAGCATTTATCCTAGTCTTTCCCAAAGTTTGGCTTTGTTCATAATCTCAACATAGTTTCTTTAATGAATCTTATCAGGATTGTAACTGAATTGCTTTCTGGTTTGATTCAGAAATCTCTTCAACCCATGGACTACAACCCATTTTAAATTTCAGTAATGTCAGATCCAACAATTTCCTAATATGTATTGATTCAACTGGAATATGTTAACATATAAAATTAAATTCATGGCATCAGATTCTTACACAGCTTATTTTTCAATTCTTGCATAAATAAACAATTGGAGGAAAGAGGCTATCCCACATAAATAAGGTAAGGTATCTATTACGTGCGATGGGAAGAAAAGGATAGCACAGGGAAGGCATTACTCTCTACCTTTTATTCTTGACTCACAGCTTTGTAGAATTTTCCTTCACATGAATCACTTCCTTAAATTAATATTACTTAGATTCTTGTAGAAACTTTACTTAGTCTTTCAAATCCTTCCAATTCCATATCTCTGGACTGTTATAGTCCAGAGTTTAGTACATCCAAAAGGTTACAATGTAAATCATTCCACCCATTGAAATTGGAAATTTTATTAATTAAGGTAAAACACGGTCCTGTTCATATTATCTTCTAATTATTTCAGAACCAGATATGTTTCTGTCTACATGTACAAATATGAAGTGTTGGTCCATTTTACTCAATAAATCAATCAGCAGGTTTAATTGAGTCCTCATTATCTAGTTTTAGGATTTGTGCAGAAATACTTATGTAGAAATATTAAAACTCCATAAGGATTCACAAACTTTTAGGGATTACCATATATGTAATATTTTTCACTATATATACATAGTGCAATGAAAGTTCCATAGCACAGTAGGTAGGGTAGCAAGAACAGAAATATTATTTACTACAAACAATAAGTGATTTGGGGAGATTCTATAATAAAGACTATGGAGACAACCTAAAAACATTTTAATTTTGTGCATTCAAATTTTGGGAGATGTTGGGTGTGAGATTTTGCACAGAAGCTGCTAAAATGTCATTAAGAAAATATTAGAATGTGGAAAAATGAGTAGATTGATGCTTCCAATTAAAGAGAAAGAACAAACTGAATATTATATGACATGGGAATTATTTTATCGATGGTTACAGACTAAAGTTAGAAACAAAGAAGGAGATTAGTGAAATGTAGAAAATGTGTTAAGATAGAGATGTAAACAATATGATGATTGTTGATGGTTGATGGTTATTATGACTATTAGGATTATTACATTCAATACTATTATTATATTCTTATTAGAAGATATGTAAAGAGGGAAAGATGAAGATATTTATTATGCTCAATATTACTACTGTGAGATCAGAGAATTATTATCAATGTAATGAATACTGTTGAAAATGTTGATAGTTATTGCACAAAGATATTTCTACACACTGTTGAATGGAAGATGGAATGTTTATACTATATATGAAGAAGCTGCTAAAATTAATGGATTTTCTCCCTCTGAAACAGCATTAAGTAACAGATCTCCAAACATAGTTCCATCTGGACTTTAAAGATAATTCTTAGATATGATTGAGCTGCAAGAGCCGAGGTAGCACAGTGGTTAGAGTGCAGTACTGCAGCTACTTCAGCTGACTGCTAGCTCAGCAGATCAGTGGATCAAATCTCACCGGCTCAAGGTTGACTCAGCCTTCCATCCTTCCGAGGTGGGTAACATGAGGACCCAGATTGTTGGGGGCAATATGCTAGTTAGTATACTGTCTTTGGTGATAGCCACCCAGAGTCCTCGGAGTGAGGGTGACATAGAAGTATGACTAATAAATAAATAAATTAGTTACTGCAGACAAATATTTGCTAACAGATAATTGGTTGCTGCAGAGAAACAAATCCAGAGTGTCTATTTATTACTGCCTTCCCATCCCATTCCCTTCAGGGCTTCCATAAATGTATCTGGGAAGAGCAATGACATACCTCCCATGGCTGAAAATGCCAAAGATTTGATCCATCCTGATTCCTCAGAGGAGCTGGCTTTGCTCTTTTTGCTCTTTTTGAATGCATTGCTTGTACCGCATGTGCTGCAAGATGAACCTCATTGTAGATGTTGTAGCTCTCTCCAGACATGGTCATTTCAAACACGGAGCCAGAAGCTTCATTGAGTTTTTCCCTTCCAGTGCAGCATTTAACTCCTTTCTCATATGGAGGCAGTGAACAAAGAAACACAGACTCCCAGAACCAATTAACATAAGGAAAGGGATGTTCCGAAGGTTTTATTCTCTCAAGAAATTCCTGAAATCCTGGCATAGTCCTTGTGTGGAGTGAGAAGTATAGGGAACCATTGAAAGTTTGAACTAGGAGTCTCCTTTTTGATGATAACATCAAAGTGAAATCCCACTGGTAGGTCATGATCCATACTCTGTGATCTATTGGTTTCTTTTGGTAAATTTCACGAGAATAAAGCCCCCATTGTAAAATCTCCATAGATTGGACAGTCCCAGAAGCAAGGAATACAGTGACATTCTTCTGTAAAATAATGTCTAATATTTTGTCTACACGTTCTTGAAAGACATTTTTATTTAAGAGTGCATCTTTTAAAATTGGGATCAATGCCATCCAAGCAATGCAAATATCACTCTGGAAGAGCCTTGGTTGGAGATTGCTTTCTATTCCAAGCAAGCATCTGTATTGTATGGTTATCAATTTCTCCCCGGTTCCCAGAGTTAGATGTTCACTCAATCACTGAAGAAATGATTTTACAATGCAATGAAGGGTCAGTTGTTATGTTTTATTGTGTCCTGAGCTATATGGCCCTCCTTTCATTTGCCAGCTTCATTGTGGCTTTCCAGGCTCGTAAACTGCCCGACAGCTTTAATGAAGCCAAGTTCATCACCTTCAGCATGTTGGCTTTCTGCAGTGTGTGGGTCTCCTTTGTGCCAACCTACCTGAGCACCAGGGGAAAAGCCATGGTGGCTGTGGAGATCTTCTCCATCTTGTGCTCTACTGCTGCACTCCTAGGCTGCATCTTTTTCCCCAAGTGTTACATTATTGTGTTGAGGCCTGATTTAAACAACAAGAAACAATTGATAAAGAGACATTCTTAAATATATTTTTCTCTGTATGCTTTTTTTAAATTGGTAGGAGTAAGCCAGAACAAGATTAAAAATTAATTTTTAAGTTATTCATATCAAGGGTTACTTACCATTCTGATTTATTTGTGTCTATGAAATCTGAATGTTCGGGAAAACCTTAAATCAAGTTTAAGCTTTTTCCCAACAATATTCAAGGGATTCACAGATTTAGTGCCTGTGTGTTTGTCGGGTCTAGTGATTTTTATGGAAAACCAGATGCCTATTATATACATTTAAATTCAAACCATTCCAGGCATCTCTCTCAGACCTGCAAAAAGACCAGCATCAAACTGTTAGTGAATTCAAGTGATTTTATTAGTTAAATGCTGAACAAACTTTATTTGCAAGAGTATTATACAAATGACTGGGTCCTTTCTCCAAATATACTTATATATGGGTTTTAATGTTTTTAATGTTTTTAATTTTTAAGTGTTTTTATAATGATTTTTTTGAGTGTATGTGAACCGCCCTGAGTCTTCGGAGAGGGGTGGCATAAAAATAAATAAATAAATAAATAAATAAATAAATAAATAAATAAATAAACAAACAAACAAACAAACATACTTTAGTGTCTCTATGAGTTTCTAATTCACTCTAACATTCATTCTAAAGTGCCGAGGTGGTGCAGTGATTGGAGTGCAGTACTGCAGGCTACTTCAGCTGACTGCTAGCTGCAGTTCAGCAGTTGAAATCTCACCAGGCTCAAGGCTGACTCAGCCATCCATCCTTTCAAAGTGGGTAAAATGAGGACCCAAATTGTTGGGGACAGTATGCTGACTCTGTAAACCACTTAGAGAGGCCTGTAAAAGCATTATGAAGTGGTATATAAGTCTAAGTGCTATTGATATTGCTAAAATAGTTATTATCGTAAGAATCTCACCATCATCACCCTTCATAATTCCCCCACCCCCAAAAATGATTTGTTTCTTTTCTAGATGTATATGACCATCCATTGACAACGAGGACTTTATTTTTTTTAACAAACAAACAAACATACAAACAGTAACCACCATGCAGAAACTTATAATGACACCTGAAGGAACCAGCAAGCAAATCCTCCTAGACAGTCAAGAAATACAGAAATACAGAATTTCATTAAACCCATTGAATTCTATCTTTGAACGAAACTTATAGAACCAACTGCTTTTTAGATCTTTGAAAGAAACTTGCCTTGCTATAGATTTATTCTATTCTATAGTTCTTTTCTTCTCATCAGGTGCACAACTTGAGGGTTCTCTTCGAATCCTGACTCCTGCTCAGCAGTTGTGCTAAGACACCCTTTGCACAACTTCATATGATGCACCTATTGCAACTTTTTCTGGATCTTGAAGCCCTATACATAGTCACTCATTACCTGGCGTTAATACCAAAGTTACATATCAATCAAACTGTGTAGTACTTATGGAATAATAGAATATCTACTTCAAATTTAACCAAAGCACAAATTGAGTATAATTCTTTCAATAAAGAATGGAGTATGGGCATGTGTGTCAGCCCTGGAAGCCATCTTTTTCTTTGGCACTTCAGGGCTGCCACCTTTAGTGTCTGGGAAAATGGGAGGGGGGATTACAAGGAGCCAGTGGAGGATTAGCCGTAACCACATTCCTTTCTCTGGGAATCAAGGACACTCAGCCAGCACCTGGATGGGAATGACTTGGGGGTTGTCTCCAGTTGGGACGATTAAATGATTGGGCCATGTGATGGACTTGTGGGTGAAGGGGATGGATCTTTCACTTTCTTTTGGGTAGGGAAAACCCAGAACTCTCATATTTGGGTTTTCCCAGATGTGCCAATATGACATCTCAAATAAAATGGAACTTTGAGGAATTGCTAGTCTCGGAGTCTTCTTTTGTTGAAGTTGTTATTTGGAACACTGACAATGTGAAACAGTGAAGATAGCAGTTCTGACTCAGCAAATAAACTGCTGCTTCTTTTTTACATGCATCATAAATGTAAAAGGAGAAAGCTTCAATTATATGTGTAGTAGCTTCCCTGGAAGCCAGTTTGGGCAATGAGGAAGAACTGATTCTGGGAACTTCAGAGGAGTTGAGGTTTCTGAGGTGGGACTGAATGGGCCTGATCTGTCCCCGTCCACACACACACACAAACACAGCCAGCCGAGGGTTAAGGAAACACTTTGGCACACACCCAGGTCTTTATCTCCAACTTGGCAGCGATATACACACCGTCTGCCAAGTGCTTTTAGTTCCACAAAACAGAAAGATAATATACTCAGCGTACAAGAGTCCAACAGAATAATATTCCTCTCAGCAATTTCGGATGATGCTTTAGTGACTATCCAAGGTTTACTTTTGTTCGTCACAGGGATCACTGGCCACCACCCTCTATTATATAGTCTCTGGGGTGTGGTCCAGTGACTCAGTTCTAATCCCTAGCATGCCTCCTGAGCTGCTGCAATCGTTTATCACGCCTTCGGAGGCGTGCGTCCAGGAATGATGTCTCTCCTTCACTCTCATCCGAGACACCTGTCTCTCGGCTAATCTCCTCTCCCTCGGCCGGCACCTGAGACAGTGCCAGAGGGGAGGGGCCTGGAGAGGGAGGCCTGGCTGACTCCTCTTCCTCATGCTCGGAGCTTTCTTCCTCCGATGGGATAGACTCAGAGGGCGGGGCCACAACAGGGCCACAGGAAGTAGAGTGGCCAGGAACCTCAGAGAGGCCATCAGGGGATCTACTGAACCAGCACCTGGCTGGAAAGGAAAGGAAAGAGATGCAGATGTCAGCACTTCAAGCTGCATTTACTCTAGTGCTGACATAAGAAGGTGAGGCAGAGGCGTCTGGAAAGGGACGTTTGACTTTTCACCTACTTATTTTCCGTGGAGATAATATCCCCTAGGAGATGGGATGGGAGGGGGAAATTCCTTTGAGCTGGAGCAGTACATTAGGGGTAGAATGACTTAGAAGATGGCCAATGAGTGCAGGGGAGTGGGGAATGGAAAGGGAGGGTTTTGGGTCTGGAAGTCAGTGTTGTCTTCGATGGAGTCGGGTTTAAAATGTCGTGTTTAATAAATAGGAGATTTTCTTCAAAGATTTTGTTTGAAATGTAATTTATTTGAGACGGCCTCGAAACCTGACAGCAGTTGCAGCTGGAGAGCTCAGAGACCCAGTCAGAAACATGGGGTGAACAAGGATTGCATGTGTAGCTAGTCAGCAGGGAAGAGAATGAACTGCCTGAAAGAAGTGCAAGGGAGGTCAGTGAGGCGATTTGCGAGGAGGCAGCCTTGCACCTCCTAATGAGTTACATCAGCACATACCTCCTTAGCTTGATACACAGAGAAATGAAACATTGGAGACAACTGCCCATTTTCCCTGTCATGCATATACTTTGACTTCGTGACTCATATTTTATTGACTCCAGACCTGTGCTTTGTTTGACCGTGTATTTGTACCTCAGACTGCTTTTTGGATGTTGGCCTAAGCTTGACTACTGTGTGTGCACTTTGGACTGTGCCTGTACTTTATACTTCATCTGTGTGAACTTGCAGACTTGTATCTTTGTCATTGGACTTTGCATCACTGTGTGTAGATGGAGCAGAATTGGACTCAATAGAAATTGTGGTTGGTGTGGGTGGGACCTGGAAAAATTCCACAGTGCCTCAGTAAAGTTCTTAAACTCTTCATGGGTGCGTGTTTGGGGGATTGGAACAGCACAATATGTTTCTGCCTGTTTTCTTCAATATTTCATGTCTCCTCCATTTTTTCTGGAAATGCCAAAAAATGTAGGATTTCACTATTAAACTATCATTATGTATATCACATACAAACACAAAGAACAGAAAGGAAATAGCATTGATATATATGGTTACAAGTGCCAAGTTGAATATTTGGACGTTTCAAATGGATGCATTGGATCGCTAGGTAAAGGCTCAATAATAGATTGTTAGATTTAACAATTAATCTGCCCTCCTGGTTAGATGCTGTTTTGTGTTCAGATGTGGGTTCAAGAGAACGATGTAGCATTTGGGCAGGAAGATGCAACCCAGGAGACCTGCAGTAGAGCCCAAGATGGAGAAGATCTCCACAGCCACCATGTATTTCCCCTTGGTGCTCAGATAGGCTGGGATGAAGGACACCCAGATGCTACAGAACACAAGCATGCTGAAGGTGATCAGCTTGGCTTCATTAAAAGTATCAGGCAGTTTCCTGGCAAAGAAAGCCACAGTGAAACTGATGGTGGCCAGGAGCCCCAAGTAGCCCAGGACAGTGTAAAACATGGCATCTGAGCCTTCATTACATTGAACAATGATCTCTTGAACCTGTGAATGCATGTCCCACTCAGGGAAGGGAGGAGACACGATCAACCATATCATGCAGATAATAGCTTGAATACATGAGCAGAAGACAATGATAGATCCTGCCAGTCTGTTTCCTAGCCATTTCCTCATCTGGTTTCCCGGCTTAGTGGCCAGGAAGGCCACAACAACCGTGATGGTTTTGGCCAGAATACAAGAAACCGAGAGGGAGAAAATGGTGCCAAACATAGTTTGCCTGAGAAAGCAAGTCACCTTCCCAGGCCTACCTATGAAGAGCAGAGAGCACAGAAAACACAGCAGGAGAGAGGAAAGAAGGATGCATGTGATGTTCCTGTTGTTGGCTTTGACAATGGGGGTGTCCCAGTGCAGAATGAAAGTCACGGCCACCAAAATGAGGGTTGATGAAGAGAAAAGGATCAAGGATGTCAGAACGATTCCCAAGGATTCACCATAGGATAAATAGCTGAAACATTTGGGAAGGCACTGGATCTTTTCTTCATTCGAATACTGATCCACTGGGCATCTCTCACATTGGTTTGCATCTGAAATACATGAAGAAGGGCTAGTCACTTCCAACTATATAGGACAATATAGAGAGCTAACTGTGATAAATCATTCCTGGTGATGCCATTCACAGTCCCCTTGACATGTACCCAACAATGCTTTCTTAACAAGTGTTAAGAAAGTTCTGGACTGTTATTTATGTATATATATATTCCTTTGAACTGCAGTATTAGTGGTGGAGTACTCTGAAGACAACTGCAACTCTCAACCTAGCAAAGGAAATCAGAATAGGAGGGATTTATGCAAGTATTTAAATTAGACCCACCTTATATATATATATATATATATATATATATATATATATATATATATATATATATATATATATATATATATATATATGAAGAAAACATGAGTTTTGGAGCTCTCAATCTTAGCTGTCTCTTGCTTCGCTTACCCATTTCATCTGAAATTCTTCCTTCAGGAGATTGTGCACAATTGTAGCAACAAATATGTTTCCCCTCTTGAACAACTTTTCTGTACCCCTTACAGCAGCTCTCTACACATCTGGCATGGGGAGGTACCTGAAAGAAAAAATCAAAAGCTTTAGGAATGGGATTCATCAAGATGTTGTGCAAGTTTTCGATTTCATTAGGAGAACTTGGTACTTTACCAAGATGCATTTGGAGAGTGTCCATATTTACATCAAATCATTCTATTCTTAGGATGAGTTCTGAATTTTCTGCAAACAAGTCCATTCTCATTTTTTCTTGTAGAACAAGAAAAAGACATAATTGAGAACATGGAAGTCTCTGGTGGAGGATATCTAAAATGTTTCAATCCTACTAGAAATCAGATCAAATCAGAGAGGTTTGCAACCTGCAATTTAGGACGAAATGAAGGATTTCATTATTTATTTATTTATTTATTTATTTATTTATTTATTTATTTATTTATTTAATTTGTATGCTACCCCTCTCCGAAGACTCAGGGCAGCTCACAATGCATTTAAAATCATTATAAAAAACATTTAAGAATTAAAAACATTAAAACTCATTCACACCATTCATGGCCAGATCTCACCGGATCGCAAGAGTGAGATCAACGGCCTCAGGCCTGCCGGAAAAGCCAGGTTTTCACCGCTTTTCGGAGGGCCAATAGGGTGGGGATGGTCCGGACCTCAGGAGGTAACTGGTTCCAGAGAGCTGGAGCAGCCACAGAGAAGGCTCTCCCCCGCAGGCCCGCCAGCCAGCATTTTTTAACTGATGGGACCCGGAGGAGACCAACTCTGTGGGATCTTACTGGTTGTTGGGAGTTATACGGTAGAAGGCAGTCTCGAAGATACCCTGGCCCTGAGCCATGTAGGGCTTTAAAGGTAATAACCAACACCTTGAATTGTGACCGGATAGGGAGCCAGTGCAGCTCACAGAGAATTGGTGTAATGTGGGTGTACCTAGGTGCACCCACGACAGCTAGCGCGGCTGTGTTCTGGACCAACTGTAGTTTCCGAACACTTTTCAAGGGTAGCCCCATATAGAGCACATTGCAATAATCTAACCATGAAGTGACAAGGGCATGAGTGACCGTGAGGAGAGCCTCCCGATCCAAGTAGGGTCGCCATTGGTGCACCAGGCGAACCTGTGCAAAGGTCCCCCTAGCCACAGCTGTCAGATGTTGCTCTAATCTTAGCTGTGAGTCTAGGAGGACACCCAAATTGCTAACCCGTTCTGAGGGGGACAATTTCTCCTCCCCCCCCAGAACCAAGGATGGACAGTCAACATAGTCTTTAGGAGGCAATACCCACAGCCGCTTGGTCTTGTCTGGGTTAAGTCTGAACCTGTTGACTCCCATCCAGACCCTCACAGCCTCCAGGCAGCAGCCCATTATGTAGGAAATGTCATCTGTTTTCATTCTGTAGGACTGGAATATCTTTGGTTTTCTTTTTATCTGCCAGGACCCAAAATCAAGAAAGACATATGGACTTACTTCTGAGCCATCCTCACCTGTAGACAGAAATCTTAACAAAGTAAAGGACCTGTTTAGCATCACTATAGATATCAATCAAATATCTAAGATCAAATATTGAGGGGCTGACATGTTCCATGTTCAACTGCAACTTTGTCTTCTGGAATGTACCTCCTTTCTGAGAATCCTGACTAAATTCCATCAAGTATCATTTGGGGCCACACCAGTGATGAAATGTAAAATTTGTTACTACTGGTTCTGTGGCGTGGTTTGGTGAGGGTTAATGTGACTCATGGGCGTGACCAACTTTTTTTTTTTACTTTTAAAAATATTTTTTCTACAACCTCTTCAGCCGAAGAGGTTGTAAAAAATGCTTTTAAAAGCCTCTGACGATCCCAGCTGAGTTGCCTGATTGTCTCTTTTTACTCCATTCATAACAGCAATATCCAAGATTAAATATTATATTGGGAAAATACAAAACATATGATGTTCATTACAAAAAATGCATATCTATTTTCTTTTAAGAAATTAGTAGCCTGTCGAGCAAACTAAATCAAACACAAGGACACATACATAAATATTCTTATGTCATGTTAATTTCAAAATGCAACTCAGTTCCACAATGGAGTTGGAAGGGACCTTGGAGGTCTTCTACTCTAACCCCTTGCTCAAGCAGGAAACCCTATCCCATTTTAGAGAAATGGTTAGGCATCTCTCCTTAAAACCTCCAGTATTGGAGCACCTACAACTTCTGGAGGCAACTTGTTTCAAAAATTAATTGTTCTAATTGTCAGGAAATTTCTTCTTTGTCTAGGCTGCCTCTCTCCTTGCTTAGTTTCCATCCATTGTTTCTTGTTCTGCCTTCAGATGCTTTGGAGAATAGCTTGACCCTCTCTTCTTTGTCATGGCTCCATAGATATTGGAACACTGCTACCATTTCACTCTTTACCCTTCTTTTTACTAAGACATATCCAGTTCCTGCAACCGTTCTTCATATGTTTTTAGCCTTCAGTCTCCTAATCATTTTTGTTGCTCTTCTCAGTATGTAGAGGTCTTCATAAAGACCACCCCAAATATCTAGTAAAACCACAAGATTCCAGAATACCATCACCATCCTTCGCTTCTGGATTTTTAGGTCATTGGAGAAGAATATCTTCACCTCCAAAGAATAGTCTACCAAGTTAGAGTGTGCCAAATATCCCACCTGCTGAAACTTGTGATTCCATACAATGGCATTTTCATTAATGGTGAACTTCTTCCCATCAAGAGATTTGGAGACCATCTTTCCAATCCGGACTCTCTGGAAGGTTTGATTGTTGAAGGAGACAAAGTTGAAGATATCATATCCCGGGTCAAACTCCCCTTTCTCATCAAAAAAGATTTCTTCTCCCACACTGTTATTAAAACAGGTGTTTTTCAGAAAGTAGTGAAGCTGGATTTGAGAGAGAGGAGAGATCAGATCAGTTATCCAAATCTTCCCCAAAGTTTGGCTTTGTTCAGAATCCCAACACAGTTTCTTTAATGAATCTCCTCAGGATTGTAACCGAATTGCTTTCTGGTTTGATTCAGAAATCTCTTCAACCCATGGACCACATCCTATTTTAAATTTCAGTAATATCAGATCCAACAATTTCCTAATATGTATTGATTCAACTGGAATATATTAACAGATAAAATTAAATTCATGGCATCAGATTTTCACACAGCTTATTTTTCAATTCTTGAATAAATAAACAATTGGAGGAAAGAGACCATCCCACATAAATAAGGAAAGGTATCCATTACATGTGATGGGAAGAAAAGGGATGCACAGGGAACGCATTACTCTCCACCTCTTATTCTTGACTCACAGCTTTGTAAAAGTTTCCTTCACATGAATCAATGAATCAATAACTTCCTTAAATTAATATTACTTCGATTCTTGTAGAAACTTCACTTAGTCTTTCCAATCCTGCCAATCCCACTGTCACATCTGGAAGCCATCTTTTACCTTTGGGCCTTCAGGCCTTCCACGTTTACTGCTATGGGAAATTGGGAGGGGGGATTGTATGGAGCATGGGTGATATGTAGTCATAATAACATTCCTTTCTCAAGGCCATCTTGCCCTGCACCTGGGAGGCTGGAACGGGGAGGCCTGTCCAGTTGGGACCATGCTGTAATTGGACCATGTGATGGACTTGTGGGTGTTGGGCAGAGACTTGAACTTTCCTTTGGGTTGGGAAACCCTGGAAGCTTTCAGATTCGGGTTTCTCCAGATGTGCCCATTTGATACCTCTAATAAAATACCGCTTTGACGAACTTCAAGCCTCAGAGTTTTTTAGTTGGGTGTGTTACTTGGAACCCTGACACCCATATCTCTGGACTGTCATATGCATATAATACATCCAAAGGGTTACAGTGCAAATCGATCCACCAATTGGAATTGGAAATTGTATTAATTATGGTAAAAACACAGTCCAGTTAATACTATCTTCTAGTGAGTTCAGATCCACATACATGCACAAATATGAAGCGTTGGGCCATTTTACTCAATAAATCAATCAGCAGGTTTAATTGAGTCCTCCTTATCTAGTTTTAGGATTTGTGCAGAAAACCAGTTATATTTTAGGTCATGTTGATGTAGAAATATTAAAACTTCATAAGGATTCACAAACTTTTAGGGATTACCATATATGTAACAGTGTTTTACTATATATACAAATTACATCAACAGTTCCATAGCACAGTAGGTAGGGTAGCAAGAACAGAAATATTGTTTAGAATAGAATAGAATAGAATAGAATAGAATAGAATAGAATAGAATAGAATAGAATAGAATAGAATAGAATAGAATAGAATAGAATAACAGAGTTGGAAGGGACCTTGGAGGTATGGTAGTCCAACCCCCTGCTTAGGCAAGAAACCCTACACCACTTCAGACAAATGGTTATCCAACATCTTCTTAAAAATTTCCAGTGTTGGAGCATTCACAACTTCTGGAGGTAAGTTGTTCCACTTATTAATTGTTCTAACTGTCAGGAAATTCCTCCTTAGTTCTACGTTGCTTCTCCCCTTGATTAGTTTCTACCCATTGCTTCTTGTCCTACCCTCAGGTGCTTTGGAGAATAGTTTGGCTCCCTCTTCTTTGTGGCAACCCCTGAGATATTGGAACACTGCTATCATGTCTCCCCTAAGTTAGACATACCCAGTTCCTGCAGCCGTTCTTCCTATGTTTTAGCCTCCAGTCCCCTGATCAACTTTGTTGCTCTTCTCTGCACTCTTTCTAGAGTCTCAACATCTTGTTTGCATCGTGGCGATGTTTTGTTTTTCTTCCCTAAATGTAGAACCTTGCTTTTTTCACTGTTGAATTTCATTTTGTTAGATAACGCCCAATGTTCAAGTCTGTCAAGATCCTTCTGTATCTTGAGCCTATCTTCTGGAGTGTTGGCTATTCCTGCAAGCTTGGTGTCATCTGCAAATCTGATGAGTTCCTATCTATCCCCTCGTCCAAGTCATTGATGAAGATGTTGAAGAGCACTGGGCCTAAAACAGAGCACTGGGGTACTCGACTGCATACTTCCCTCCATGTAATTGCAGTTCCATTGAGGACTACACGTTGAGTGCGGTTGGTCAGCCAGTTACGAATCCATCTGGTGGTGATGCTGTCTAACCCACATTTTTTTACTTTATCTAGTAGTAGGTTATGGTCTACTTTATCAAATGCTTTACTGAAGTCCAAGTAAGTGATATCGACAGCATTCCTCTGGTCCACTAATTTTGTCACTTTGTCAAAGAATGCAATAAGATTAGTCTGCCATGATCTCTTTTTGACAAACCCATGTTGGCTTTTGGTTATTACTTAATTTGCTTCTAGGAGTTTGGTGATTTGTTGTTTGATTATCTTTTCCAGAATCTTCCCTGGTATTGAGGTCAGGCTGATAGGTCTGTAGTTTCCTGGATCTATTTTCTTTCCTTTTTTGAAGATGGGAACTACATCAGCTCTTTTCCAATCCTCTGGCAGTTCCCGTGTGCTCCAGGATCTTTGAAAGATATAGTTCAGTGGTTCTGAGATCTCGTCTGCCAGTTCCTCCAGAACCTTGGGGTGTAATCCATCTGGTCCTGGTGATTTAAAGTGGTCTAGGGTAGATAGGTGTTCACTTACCATTTTCTTCCCTATTTTAACTTGTGTTCCTAATCTGTTTTTTGTGGTGCTGTTTTTGATAGGTTAGACTGTTTTTCCTTTTGTGTAAAGACAGATGCAAAAAAATGAGTTTACTACAGAGAGATTGGGGGAGACCCTATAATGAAGAGTATGGAGACAACCTAAAAACATTTTAATTTTGTGCATTCAAATTTTGGGAGATGTTGAGTGTGAGAGTTTGCAAAGAAGCTGCTAAAATGTGATTAGGAAAAAAAATAGAATGTGGAGAAAAGAATAGATTAATACTTGCAATGAAAGACAAAGAACAAACTGAATATTAAATGATATGGGAATTATTTTATTGATGGTTAGAGAATAAAAATGGAAGTTAGAAACAAAAGAAAGAGATTAGTGAAATGTAGAAAATGTGTTAAGATACAGATGTAAACAATGTGAGTGGTATTATTATGAACTATTAGGATTATTACGTTTAACATTATTATTATATTCTTATCAGAAGATATGAAAAGAGGGGAAAATGAACATATTTATTATGCTTGATATTACTACTGTAAAATCAGAATATTATTATCAATATAATGAATACTATTGAAAATTTTGATGGTTATTGTACCCAGATGACACATTGTTGAATGGAAGAGGGAATGTTTATATTAAAAGAATAAAAAAATAGAAGAAGAATAGAAGAAGAAGCTGCTAAAATTAACGCTCTCTACATGGGGCTCCCCTTGAGGTGCACTCGGAGGCTCCAACTGGCGCAGAGTGCGGCCGCACGGTGGTTATGGGAGCGACGTGGAGTTCCCATGTAACACCTCTCCTGCGTTAGCTGCACTGGCTCCCGGTGGTCTTCCGGTGCGCTTCAAGGTTTTGGTTATTACCTTTAAAGCGCTCCATGGCTTAGGACCTGGTTATTTACGGGACCACCTGCTACCACCATAGCCTCCCACCGGCCAGTACGCTCCCATAGAGAGGGGCTCCTCCAGGTGCCGTTGGCCAAACAATATCGGCTGTCGGCCCCTAGGGGGAGAGCCTTCTCTGTGGCGGCACCTATGATCTGGAACGAGCTCCCCCAGGAGATACGGAGGATCCCGGATCTGTGCACCTTCCGCCGTGCGCTTAAGACTCTTCTATTTCATCAAGCTGGCCTGGCCTAAATCTTCCCCCTTTTAATGTGGAAATTTTAAATTTGTTTTAATTATAGGGTAAGGCGTTTTAAATTGGGGAGCCATTTTGGATTTAATTTTGTTTTTAAATGTATTTTAATGTTTATATTGTATTTTTTTTTAATCTTGGCTGTTCACCACCCCAAGTCCTTTGGGAGAGGGGGCGGTATAAAAATTTAATAAATAATAAATAAATAAATAAATAAATGAATAAATAAAATAGCAGAATAATTCACTCCCTGAAAGAGTATTAAGTAACAGATCTCCAAACATAGCTCCATCTGGACTTTGGAGATGATCCTTAGATATGATTGAGCTCCATCAGTTACTGCAGACAAATATTGCTAACAGAAAATTGGTTGCTGCAGAGAAACAAATCTAGAGTGCTTATATATTGCTGCCTTCCCATCCCGTCACCTTCAGGGTTTCCATAAATGTATATGAGAAAAGCAATGACATACCTCCCATGGCTGAAAATGCCGAAGATTTGATCTAACATGATTCCTCAGAGGAGTTGGCTTTGGTCTTTTTGCTCTTTTTGAAATGCATGGCTTGCATCACATGTGCTGCAAGGTAAACCCCATTGTAGACATTGTAGCTCTCTCCAGACATGGTCATTTCAAACACGGAGCCAGAGGCTTTCTTGAGTTTTTCCCTTCCAGTGCAGCGTTTAGCTCCTTTCTTATATGGAGGCAGTGAACAAAGAAACACAGACTCCCAGAACCAAGTAACATAAGGAAAGGGATGCTCCAAAGGTTTTATTCTCTCAAGAAACTCCTGAAATCCTGGCACAGTCCTTGTATGGAGTGAGAAGTGTAGGGAACCATTGAAGGTCTGAACTAGGAATCTCCCTTTTGATGATAAACTCACAGTGAAATCCCACTGGTAGGTCATGATCCATACTCTGTGATCTATGGGTTCTTTTGGTAAATTTCACGAGAATAAAGTGCCCATTGTAACATCTCCATAGATTGGACAGTCCCAGAAGCAAGGAATACAGTGACATTCTTCTGTAAGATAATGTCTATTACTTTCTGTACACGTTCTATAATGACATCTTTATTTAAGAGTGCATCTTTTAAATTGGGATCAATGCCATCCAAGCAATGCAAATATCACTCTGGAAGAGCCTTGGTTGGAGATTTTGAAAAAATACTTCCCCACTCTCGTCCTCTGAGATCAAGAGGCCAATCCAGTTCCATCCAAAATGTTTTAGTAAATGAACAATCCCCTCATATTGCAAATTTTCATTGGGAACCATGCTGAAGAAGGAAGGGAACTGCCCTTTGTCACTCAGGACTGGGTCAAAGGAACCATAATTGAGCTTTTGGGAAGAATGATGCATAGAAAATTAAACTGAGAGTCCTTTTGTGATCATGAAGAGCACAGAGCTTTTCCATCCTCCATAGAATATTGGATTCTACTGTGACATTATCACTTTATTGCAGAATCCCAAAGGTTGCTATCAAGTGTTACATGTAAGGAGATCATAAGCTTCATGATAGTAGATTCTGGGAACTCAGAACTGGGAAATGACAGCCTGGTTAAAATTGAAAGAAGCTAGTGAAGGAAGACCGCCCTCCCCAGATAGAAGAAGAAACCATGAGGCAGCAAATAATCCAAACACAATTCAAATAATTAAATTACAACCATTTACACAAGGAAAGAAAAAACATGTCTAGCTCATTATCAGAGCTCACATCCCAGGCAAGCTCAAGTATAAACACTTGAGATAAGCCTAGCTACAAAAAAATTCAATTAGCGTTAGAATGTAGCAAAAGAGCAAACACAGTAGCTATTGCTTGTTAGATCAATTACCAGAACAAATAGACCCAGGAATTAGATTTCTCAACCCTGCTTCCTTTCAGGAACAGAGATTAACCTCCTTCCTTCCAAACAAGTAGGGAAAATTGTCCCATCAGTAAACACAGGATTAAACATCACCAAGCACAACTTAAACGGCACCAAAAACCAGTTTTAGACCTAAACTCTAGCTAGCCAAGAAGCCTTGCTGCATGTCACTCAACTTGGTTCCTTGTCACTAAAAGCTTCTTTCCAGCAGCACTGCTTCATTATTCAATTATTTCTTCAAAGTGCATCCTGGCGGGAAGAATCCTAATGGGTTCGATTCCTCCCAACACTAGGGTTTATTTTAAAATTTTTTTAACAAGATGATCTGTGAAAAATGGTCATACCTGTTGAAACTTGTAGATGTTCAACATGTGGGCCATCTGGATGGAATTGAGGGAGGTGAGGTCACCAAGGATAGGCAAGAAGTTTGGATTCCTTCTTCTAACACAGTTGAAGTTGACAGGATTCCCTTGATCGAGAAACAGAAAATCTAAAAGATGCTTACTAGCCTTCATGGCATTGAAACTAGTTTCATACATCTCCAGTGTTGCTGTGAAGTTGGGGAACAGCTTGGCATTCTTGTCAATTTCCTCAATGGCAAAAGACATAGAAAAAGCATGCTGGACATATTTTGGTATCATGCTGAAATGAAAGTGCCGAAGTAGAGAAAATCACAAAAAAAGAACTAAATCTAGTTCTAAACTACATAGATAATTTCAGCAATTTATTCCGTAGAGACTAATTTTGAATTTCAATGAAAGAAACTTTTGGCTTTGCACATTATTCTGACCATTTCCACAGTCACTGATTAGCAAGACCTGTTCTAGAACTCTAGGCAAGGATTTTGGAGAGGTTGACTGGAAGACCTTTTTTCTTAACAGAGAAAGTGATGTTCCTCTTTCGAACAGATCATAGAATAAAGTCTACTGTAGCTGCCCCTCTTGCTGACTCCTCTACCTTTGTGAGGTGGGTTGGTAGGGAACCTGTTTGATTCCTCCCTTGTTGCTGAGTTTGTCTGCCACTTAATGTCTGGGTAAATAAAATCCCCCATTGCTATCGTGGTGTATTTTGAGATACATTTGTTAACTGATTAGCAAAATGTTCATCTATTCTTTCTGCTCCATTGGGTTGCTTATAGTATATTCCTGTGCCAATGTCATTATTTTATGTTGACCCATAAGCATTGTAGCAGGTTTTCATCCTTGGTTTTGTGCCCTCTTGGTTTTGTGCATCTCTCTTGTTTTGCAATGTCATCTTCTGACAGAGGCTGAATTTTCTTTGAAAGTCTGGGAACACGAGCAAGTCAACCTTATGATTGGGTGGATATATGTTAATCTTGGGCAGTACATTTTATCATCAGGTCCACAAATCAAACGTTTACTTCATAGTTTGCTGATTTTCTGGAGCTTCCTTCTTTCATAGGAAAGGTACATTGAAGATTGTATAAAATGATCAACTATCTTCTAGACCTTCCTAGAGCTGCTATAAATGTTTACAAGCATCTCCACACTTTCATCAACATATGTTAATGCTTAAGATGAAAATCAACCTTCACACTGTTTTTTTTTTTAATCTTGTCATCTTTTCTTCATCCAATGACATCAGCTAATAAACACCTTGATCATAATGATGTGAATTGCAGTTTTTCAGAAAGGAGCCACTTGGAATTGTATTTCTTTGAGAAAGTGCTTCTAATACTTTACTAGACCCTATTCCCCATGAACTCGGTGATATTTCCATTTTTGAAATGGAGAGAGAAATAGTTTACCTTAAAATACATCTTTAGATTTCTAGATCTCTAAGAGGGTTCATTGTAACATATGAAAGTCCCACATGCATGTTTTCCTAAGGGCCATCTCTCAATGGAAGCCCTGCTCAACATGTCTAACATCTGTAAATATGACAGCCAAACTAGCAGTGTCATAATTGAACCAGTATAATATCCCTTTTCTCTAAATTCTATCACCTTTCTCAGAAGTTACATTGCATTTTCTTCAAAGAAGATTGAGGCACTTACATTCCATATTCAGAAATTACTGGCATTTTTTTGAAACTCTGTGTACGTGCATCAGGATTTATACAGGAAAAAAATCCCCAAATATCGTTTTACCTTCCGAGGTGGAAAATTTCCTTGGAACATTACTGGGCTGGAAACAGATGGATTTCAAACTCTTACTGACACTGCCAGGAACAAAGAAGAAGAACAGAATAAGGTTAAATGCCAAGAGACTTGAGCCATCCTTCCAGCCCTTTAAATACATGGTCAACAAAATAAATCAGTCAAGTTTGCAAAAAATAAATTGCCTTGGTTAGACCAAATGGAAAACGTCCACTGAAAAGGAGGAGGATATATAAATAAAAAAGTAAAGATGAAACAGAGCAGGGATTTCAGTGGCCCAAGATAAATTTTGAGGGATCTTTCAAAGTGCAGCAGGAATTTCTGATTTTTCTTCCTCCTTGCCATCCTTGTTCAGCTGTGATGCTGTCAAGAAACAGAACTGAAATACAGTCATTTGCAAATTAGAGGGAAAATTATAACCTTATATTCTATTCCTTGGTGATTTAGGCAAATTGGGTTTGTGTAAAATCTGTACATGGTTATTGTAAGAGTTACAGTTAGTTTCCTGTAGCAAGTGCCATTTTCTTTCTCTTGCCTTGCAATCTTCTTTGTTCTTACCTTGACCTTAGATACAGAAAAGTTTCAGAAACTTTTGCTTTAGAGAATTACATTACCTATGTGGATCTACAGTGATCCTCACATGGATGCCAATTTATTAGATCACAGAAAGCTTAATAACAAGGGGCTAAAAGAAAGATGTGATCTTGAAAATGTGCTTAATAAAGGTGAAAACTATAATAGTCCTTTGGTTTTCCCTAAAATGAAAAAGCCAAAATAAATTGATCCTCAACTTATGACTGCAATCGAGCCCAAAATTCCTCTTGTTAAGTGAGATGTTTGTTAAGTGAGTTTTGTCCCATTTTATGACCTTAAGTGGCCCTTCTGCAAAGCTCTGGGAGGACCTGAGTAATGCAAAGTATTTGGGATTGTAACGGTATTGGAAAGATAAATTTATTTTGAAAGATAATGTAGAGCCACTGAATGTAAAAGTTGGAATTGTTTACTCAGTGCACAGAAATAAGACTCAAACACAGAGACACAGACAGATCCCCTCCCCATGTGTGTGAGGTGTGGGGAGTGAGGTGTGTATAGGGATGGAGATGGATAGATAGATAGAAAGATAGAAAGATAGAAAGATAGAAAGATAGATAGATAGATAGATAGATAGATAGATAGATAGATGGATGGATGGATGGATGGATGGATGGATGGATGGATGGATGGATGATGGATGGATGGATGGATGGATGGATGGATGGATGGATGGCAGGATAGATAAAGAGATAGATGGATGGATGGATGGATGGATGGATGGATGGATGGATAGATAGATAGATAGATAGATAGATAGATAGATAGATAGATAGATGTAGGTAGGTAGGTGGGTGGTGGGTGGGGGAGAGAGAGGGAGAGAGATATTGATAGATAGTAGATAGATAGATAGATAGATAGATAGATAGATAGACAGACAGACAGACAGACAGAAGACAGACAGACAGACAGACAGACAGACAGACAGACAAAATGTGGACCTAATGAGTTGTGCATTACAGGTAGTCTTCGACTTACATCCACAACTGAGCCCAAAATTTATGTTGCTAAGTGAGAAATTTGTTAAATGAGATTTGCCCCATTTTATGACTTCTTGTCATGTTTGTTAAGTGAATCAGTTTGTTAAAAAAAGATAACATGGTTGTTAAGTGAATCTGACTTCCCCATTGACTTTGTTTGTCGCAAAAGAGGATCACATGACCCCCCTGGGACACTGCAACCGTCATAAATATGAACCAGTTATCAAGCTTTCAAACGTAAATCATATGACCATGGGGATGCCGCAATCGTCATAAGTGTGAAAAATGGTCGTAAGCCACTTTTTTTCAGTGCTGTTCTAACATTGAATGGTCACTAAGTGAACTGTTGTAAGTTGAGGACTACCTGTATTTTTTGGGGGGGGGGTTAAGCATATCATAAATTCCCCCTCCAGGTGGATACCCCCTTGTTGTGGGGAAGGGATTGGGTGTTCAGTTAAGGTCGAGAGCAGAAGGATCACCCAGCGGGTTGGATCATCTCAACGGAGAAGCCAGACTAAGAGTATCCACAAACCCATTAATCATGATGAGACAACAGAAGAAGAAACCCATTCCAGATTGGTTGTCATCCGAGTTAACAAGGTCTGTGGCAGTTACTGTCCTGGGCAGCTGTGGAAAAGTGAGCAACTTACTTGTTCTGACCTAGGCTTCCTTAGAAATTAAACAGCACAAACTTAGTCGCGGCAAACTTCTTTAATTCATATGGCTGTAAATTACTTTCATTTACAGTCTGCAAGGCTTGATAAACAGTCTTTCAGAGGAAGGTTATCAACACCCACCTATCGCACGTGGAACGCTGCCAAGGAGCTAATTTCCAGAGGCAGGGCAAGGCCAAACTTGGCACAGAGTCACAAACAGAATTTTCAAATCTTGAATCGGCCAGATGAACTAATTGCTTCCTGCAAAAGCTCACGTCCCGTTTGTTTCTCTTTTATGTCTTATGGAAAGGGCCAATCATTTCCAAGCCTTACTCCCAAGTCGATCCTGTTTCCTTAATTGTTCCTGTCTCCTGGCAGCTCTGTGCATGTGCACACTGGGAACAGGCTCACACTGTTCTTCTGCCTTGCTGATGTCAGACTCCGGAGGCAGCAAAGAACTGCCAGATGGCCTTGGCCCCCACTCTGCCACTGACTCAGAGCCATCGTCTGAGTCTTCCCCAGACTCCAGGACTAGCCCACATTCCTTCCCAACCTCCTCACTGTCTGAATCTGGTGGGCCACAACACTACTCCGCAAAAACTCACCAAGAAAATACTATTGGAAGTATCTCCAACGTATCAGGCGGAGTGATAGGATAACAGGAATCCCTGTTTTTGAGTTAGCCAGTGGCATAACCAAATGTTTGTGTTATATATTTATAAATTGATTTAACATTCAAATTTACATATAGAAAGAAAGAACAGAAATTTGTTTGGCCTAAACGTCAAATCCGTGGCAATTTGTTCCTTGATGTGATTGTATTTCCAATTTCTTGTCAATGTAAGATTTCAGTAAAACTCAAAAACCTATTCAAGAAAAAAAAAGAAAAGAAAAAAAAGAAGATAGTCAGGAACACAGGAATATCATGAGGTAAATTAAACAATATACAGAACATTCAGAAGAAAAATGTGGGGGTGGGGGAAATACTGCATCCAGTTTTGGTTGCCACAATGTAAAAAAGATGTGGAGATTCTAGAAAGAGTGCAGAGAACAGCAATGAAGATCATTAGGGGACTGGAGGCTAAAACTTATGAAGAATGGCTGCAGGAACTGGATATATCTAGTTTAATGAAAAGGACTAGGGGAGACATGATAGCAGTGTTCAAATATCTCAGGGGCTGCTACAAAGAAGAGGGAGTCAAACTATTCTCCAAAGCACCTGAGGGCAGGACAAGAAGCAATGGATAGAAACTAATCAAAGAGAGAAGCAACCTAGAACTAAGGAGAAATTTCCTGACAGTGTTGAGGAAATTAATCAGTGGAACAACTTGCTTCCAGGACTTGTGAATGCTCCAACATTGGACGTTTTAAAGAAAAGATGGGATAACCATTTATCTGAAATTGTCGAGTGTCAAGTCATCCCTCGACACAACGCCATCCCAGGCGAGGGGCCTCCGAAATGAATGCATCAACAAATCACGGTGGAGGGGGTGTATTGCGTTTAGGTATATTTACATGGTGATAACAGGTGGCGGGCGGTATGTGGAAGGAGGGAGGATCGTGGTTAGTATTTTGAGGCTTATATTATGATCGGAGAGGCGTAGATGGCATCCTACCCCAGCGCCCGATGCTGACTCCTCGAGCACAACCACGGAGCCGCAGATGATGTCGTTATCTTGCGCAGCTGAGAGTACCAGGAGAAGCGGCAAATTCAAAGCTGCACAGCTGTGAAGGATAGAGGGTGGAGCTGCTCTATAAAACTCTGCTAACGGACTAAGCGAACGTCTCCGACTTTGTTCCTGTATGGGCTTCAGCACCTACTGTAAACCGCCGCATAAGCTACAATTAAACCAGGCTTTGGGAAACTTTCTTGTGCGTCTGTGGTGTTTGCCTGGCGGAGCACAGGAGGTTCCAGAGGAACTGACAGAAATAGTATAGGCCAGGGGTGTCAAACTAAATTTCATTGAGGGCCGCATCAGGGCTGTGGTTGACCTCGGGGGGGGGGGGATTGGACAACTGGGTGGGTGTGGCTAACTGGTGGGCATGGCCAGCTTGATGCCACTCATGGAGCATGGCTGACTGCATGGGTGTGGCTGACTGAATGGGTGTGGCCATCTTGAGACCACTCCCCAAACTGCTGGCATGTTTCCTCTTTGCACTGGGTAGACCAGGCTGAAGCCACACAGGTAGACCAGTGTGGTCTACCTGTGTGGCTGAAACAACATAGGTAGGCCGGGCCAAAGTGATATGGCCCAGCCTCTTACGTTTTCCAGGATGGCCATACAGGACGGATCCAACCACATCGCGGGGTGATTCCAGCCCACGGGCCTTGAGTTTGACACCCTGGTATAGAGTAGAAGATCTCCAATGTCCCTTCCATATCTCCATATCTCCTGCCGCAGGGAGGCGGAACCGACTAGGTGGTTCCACCCCAGGTGCCTGATGGATCCTGATAGGCTCCAAATGGAGCTTGGGCCATTCCCTGAGACTCTGCCTCACGACTCGACGGAAGACCTGGTGGCCGCCTGGGATAGGGAGGCTGCTGGTGCTTTAGATCGGGTTGTGCCTTTGCGGCCTCTGACCTGGTGCCGAATTGGTCCAGCTCCTTGGTTCTCTGAGGAGCTGAGGGAGATGAAGCTCCAGAAAAGATGCCTAGAGAGTAGTTGGAGAGCTAGTCATTCTGGATCTGATCGAGCACTAGTGAGGTCTTATATCAAAACCTACTTAGTGGCGATAAAAGCGGTGAAGTGTAACTACTTCTCCGCTCTTATCGCGTTGGCAGATAATCGCCCAGCTGCCTTGTTTAGGGTGACCCGCTCTTTTCTCCATCTGGGAGCGCAGGAAGACCCTTGCAAGGGCGTGCTGAGGATTTTGTGTATTATCTGCATGATACAATCGCTTAGATTCGGGATGGCTTGGACTCCGACTGGGTGGGTTCAGGCGATGTGTCTGAGGCGGGTCTTGAGAATGTCATCTGGGAGGAGTTCGATCCTGTGACTCCCGAGGACGTGGACAGGATGCTGGGGAGATTGAATGTAACCACATGTTTATTGGACCCATGTCCCTCCTGGCTGGTGCTGGCTACCCGGGAGGTTACACGAGGCTGGCTCCAGAGGATTATTAATGCTTCTTTGAGTGAGGGCATCTTACCTCCCACCTTGAAAGAGGCAGTGGTGAGGCCCCTCCTCAAGAAGCCCTCTCTGGATCCAGCTGTTTTGGCAAACTATCATCCTGTCTCCAATCTTCGCTTCGTGGCGAAGGTTGTTGAGAGTGTGGTTGCGTGACAGCTCCCACAGTACCTGGATTAAACTGTCTATCTGGATCTGTTCCAGTTTGGCTTCAGGCCTGGGTACAGCACAGAAATAGCATTGGTCGCGTTGGTCGATGATCTCTGGAGGTCCCGATACAGGGGTTGTTCCTCTGTTCTGGTCCTGTTAGACCTCTCAACGGCTTTTGATACCATCGACCATGGTATCATGCTCCGCTGGCTGGAGGGGTTGGAAGTGGGAGGCACCGTCCTACGGTGGTTCTCCTCTTATCTCTCCAACCGGTCGCAGTCAGTGTTGGCTGGGGGGCAGAGGTCGACCTTGAGGCACCTTGTTTGTGGGGTGCTGCAAGGATTGGTCCTCTCGCCTCTCCTGTTCAACATTTATGTGAAGCCGCTGGGTGAGATCATCTGTGGATTTGGGGTGCGATGCCATCTGTACGCTGATGATACTCAGCTGTACATTTCCACCCCAGACCACCCCAATGATGCCCTTGAAGTGATGTCCTGGTGCCTGGAAGCCGTGCGGGTCTGGATGGGGAGGAACAGGCTCCAACTCAACCCTTCCAAGACCGAGTGGCTGCGGCTGCCGGAGTCCCGATATAGACAGCTGGTGCCATCGCTGGCTATTGGGGGTGAGTCATTGGCCCCCACAGAGGGGGCTCGTAACTTGGGTGTCCTCCTGGATGCATGGCTGTCTTTAGAAGAGCATATGATGGCCATGGCCAGGGGGGCTTTCTATCAGGTTCGCCTGATATGCCAGTTGCGTCCCTTTCTGGATCGGGACTCCCTATGCACGGTCACTCACACCCTCGTCACCTCTCGCCTGGACTACTGCAATGCTCTCTACATGGGCCTCCCCTTGAGGAGCACTTGGAAGCTCCAGCTGGTCCAGAATGCGGCTGCGCGGGTAATTATGGGGGCGACATGGTGCTCCCATGTGACACCTTGCCTGCGCGAGCTGCACTGGCTTCCGGTGGTCTTCCGGGTGCACTTCAAGGTATTGGTTCTCACCTTTAAAGCGCTCCATGGCTTAGGGCCTGGTTATTTACGAGACCACCTTCTGCCACTGATAACCTCCCACCGGCCAATTCGCTCCCACAGAGAGGGCCTCCTCAGGGTGCCGTCAGTCAAGCAATGTCGACTGACGACCCCCAGGGGGAGAGCCTTCTCTGTGGGGGCACCCGCCCTCTGGAACGAGCTACCCCCAGGAATATGTATGATCCCGGACCTCTGTACCTTCTGTCGAGCTTTGAAGACCTTCCTATTTCAGCAAGCTGGGCTGGCTTAAAATTTTAATGGGTTATTTTAAGGGTAATGGGTTTTAATTTTTGGGAAGCCAATTCGATTTAATTCTGTTTTAAATTATTTTAAATTTTATATTGTATGTATTTTAATTTTGGCTGTTCACCGCCCTGAGTCCTTCGGGAGAAGGGCGGCATACAAATTTAAACAATAAATAAATAAATAAATAAATAAATAAATAAATAAATAAATAAATAAATAAATAAATAAATAAATAAATAAATATCTGCTATTCTATTCTATTCTAAAAGGAGAAACCCCCTTTATAATTATGGGAACCAATCATAGCATAGATTACCTCACACTTGAGTAACTAATCAACTACAACTATGTGTTCTAAGCCTATTGTACACTTTATTGTTCCAGCTACTAAATTCAATATCTTAACACAGTTGGAATTTCAAAGGAACAAGTCAAGGTCATCTAATATATATAGGAACCTCTCAAGAAACAACACTGTTTTTTAGAGGGGGAAAATCCTTTTCCTAGATCTACACCATACAATTCATGTAAGACAGCCTAAAATTTCACATAAAAACCCTTTGCTCTGTATAGGAAATAATGGGAAATAATCCTACTGAAGCATGAATTTTACTGCAGGAATAACATCTGTAAATAACATTGACTGCTGAAAATAAAGTTTATTACTTTAAAAGTTGGGTTAATAGAGACAATTAATCTGTTTGCAAAGTTGACACTGGCTGAACTTCCAAAAAGAGAAAAGTGCTTCTGGGGAAAGCTGCAGTGCCTGAACAATTATAAAATCACATCTAATCTTTACTACTTCACCATGGATTACATCGTTTCTTTCAATCATAGAAGACATGCAGAGCAAAATTGATGATCTCCCGAGTAGAATTACTCTAGGGACTGTAATTTGTTCACTTGGTCTAAGATGGAAACATCTGAAGCAGAAACATCAAATCTATTAGTGAGAAGGGGAAAAAACATCTAAAGGTTTTGTCCCATAGAGAGTTGCAAATAAGAGTAGCAATTGGAAAGGGCAGAGTCTATATTTGTCTTTTACTTCAAACTGTGATTTGCCATATTACCAGGGTGCCATCATTTGAGCACAATGTTAGTTGGATTTTGGCAATCTGAATAAAGGACATGGCTGGATCTGCATTATTGTTATACCTAAGGAGTAGTAGCAAAGCTGTTAAGTGGTGTATTTAGCCTGGCTAATATTTGTTAATAAAGAATTCTAATTTATTTATTTATAATTTTATTTATAAATCAAACATATCCATATTTCAGAAGACTTTCTGCTGCCCACATGTTTCTTCTTCTTCTTTTTGTGATACCAAAAATCAGAGTGAATAGTCTAGCATGTCATGTGGAGGATCCAGTACCTACTCAGTACGAGTGGTACCAGGAAGGAGACATCATTCTCGGCGAGATGGTTTCTATGATAAATTACCATTTTAATGAAGTTTCATTTCAGGAACATCCTTCTCAAGAGTTTTTTGAATTTCCAGAGTATGGATTTTCTATCTTGCTCCTCAGTAGCAGTTAGGAAAGTTTAATGCATGCAGAGAAATAGGGAAGGATGGATTGTTTCCTTGCATCCCGAGAACTCTTTCTCTCTGAGGTTGTTTTTACATCTCTGGAATTCAAGACAGCTTTTAATAAATGTAAATTTTTTCTGCCAGCTGTGCAAAATTAGACCAGGCGACCCAATTTATGGTAGCAGCCAGTGCTAGAGTGAAATATCATGGGCTGTTATCAAGTGCAAAGAAAGTGCAACTCATGATTTCATTACTCAACCTCACTATAAATTGAGAAGGAAAGAATGAAGAGAAATTTTATTTTTTTGAAATAGTAGGGCATTATTGTTTGTGGGAAGTGGCAATATTTTGACTCATTTTGCAATGATGTCAATCACAGAAAATATTTCATTCTGGCCGTGTTCTCAATTGAGATGGAATAGCCCTATCTTAAACATGGAGAGAGGGGGAGAGGGAGGGAGAGGGAGGGAGGGAGGGAGAGATTATTGATATATTGAATTCTGTTATAGCAATTACAATTGTTTGGATATAAAATCTCCTTTAAGGTTAACTTCTGAAAGAGTGAAATCATTTTATTTACAGGGTGTTAACAAAATTCTACCAACATGTCCTTTGCTTGGCCTTTGCCGTGAAGGAGATCAATGAGAATCCACAAATCCTGTCTAATGTCACCCTTGGCTTCCATATCCATGACAACTATTATCACCCAATGATGACTTATCGGACAACCTTGGACCTGCTCTTCAAATCCCAGCAATTTGTCCCCAACTATAAATGTGACACCATGAAAAACCTCATAGCCATTATTGGAGGACTCAGCTGTGAAACATCATCCTATATGGCAGACATTGTAGGTTTATACAAGATACCACAGGTAGGCACTTGAAGAATAGATATAAGAGTGCTAATTGATTCCTCCTGTCTAGAAAATAATGATGAATGATAATCACTTAGCTGAATAACCTTACAAAAGATAATTTTCATGAATAGAAAAATGGAGGTAAACTTGTTCTACGGAATGTGTTCTTTGTTTTTAGTTGACTTATGGATCATTTACCCCTCTGGATAGTTACAATGCTGGGACGTCTTCCTTTTACTCCATTGTCCCCAATGAATCTTCTCAGTACATTGGGATTATCCAACTGCTTCAACATTTTGGGTGGACCTGGATTGGGATTTTTACTACGGATAATTGGAATGGAGAACGTTTCCTGCAGATCATGGA